CTTTGCCCATTTTTAATCAGGTTATTTGTTTTAGTTTTGTTTTCTTTTGGTAATTAGCTGTAGGAGTTCCTTATATATTTGGGATATTAACTCTTTGCCAGATAGATGGCTTGCAAATATTTTCCCCTATTCTGTAGGTTGTCTTTTCACTCTGTTGTTTCCTTTGCTGTGTGGAAGCTTTTTGGTTGGATGTAGTCCCATTTGTCTATTTTGGCTTTTGCTGCTTATGCTTTTGGTATCATATCCAAGAAATCATTGCCAAGACCAATGTCAAGAAGCTTTTCCTCTATGTTATCTTCTAGTTTTATATTTTCAGGTCTTACGTTTAAATTTATAATCCATTTTTAGTTGGTTGTTATGTATGATATAAAGGTGCAATTTTATTCTTTTGCATGTGAATATCCCATTTTCCCAGCACCATTTATTGAAGAGACTCTCCTTTCCCCATTGCGTATTGTTGGCACCTTTGTTGAAGATCAGGTGACTGCATACGTGTGGGTAATATGTTTTGAAATTAGGTAATATGATGTCTCTAGCTTTATTCTTCTTGCTCAAGATTGCTTTGGCTATTCAGGGTGTTTTGTGTTTCCATATGAATTTTAGGATTGCTTTTTCTATTTCTGTAAAAAAAATGTCATTAGGATTTTGATAGGAATTGCATTGAATCTGTAAATAACTTTAGGCAGTATGAACGTTTTAATAATATTAAGTCATGTGATCCATGAACATGGAATGTTTTTCCATTTATTTGTGTCTTCTTTAAGTTTTTTCATAAAGTTCTGTAGTTTTCAGTGTACATGTTTTTCACTTCCTTCGTTAAGCTTATTCCTAAGTATTTTATTCCTTTTGATGCTATCTTAAATGGGATTGCTTTCTTAATTTCTTTTTTGGATAATTCCTTGTTAGCATATAGAAATGCAACTTATTTTCATGTATTGACTTTGTACCCTGCAACTTTACTGAAATAATTTATTAGTTCTAAGTGTTTTTTTTTTTTTTGGTGGAGTCTTTAGAGTTTTCTGTATAAAAGAACATGTCATCTAAAAGCAGATATTTTCATTTCTTCCTTTCTGATTTAGATGCCTTTTATTTCTTTTTCTCGTCTAATTGCCCTGGCCAGGACTTCTAGTACCATGTCAAATAGAAGCGGCAAGAGTGGGCATCCTTTCCTGTTCTGATCTTAGAGGAAAGCTTTCAGTTTTTTTACCACTGAGTATGATGTTTGCCTTGGGCTTGTCATATATGGTGTTTATTACATTAAGGTAAATTTCTTCTTTACCTAGTTTGTTGAGAGTTGTTTGTTTTTTTTTTATCATGACAGGGTGTTGAATTTTGCAACTGTTGAGATGATCACACAATGTGTATCTTTCATTCTATTAATGCGATGTATCACGTTTATTGATTTGCTTGTGTTGATTGCATCTAGTGATTAAGAAGCTAAGTAGAAAGGCTCAAAAACCAAAGTAGTGCTTTGGGCAGTCTCACTGTGCTGAGTAGATAAGAATTAGTGTTTAAGATCTGCCAATGGTAAGGGCTTCATTAAACACACAAGATTATCAGCTGAAAGTTCTGGACAGTAATTTCTTGGAAGCAGGGGCAAAAGAAAAGTAGAAGGGCTTTACCAACATTGAACCTGGACTTGATTCAGCTTAGTCACTGATTCAGTAAAAGTGATCTGCCTTTACTTGATCTACTTAACAGAGAAAAGAGTGAATTCTCTCTGAGAGAAGATAACATCATCTGGAGCCTATGTAATTATTTATACACAATTGGTTGACGTTCATTCAAAACTTTTTAGGAATTATAAGAGACAATGCCATATGATGGAAAACCTAAAAAAAAAACAAAAACCCAAAACCAGACAATAGATACAAACCCACAGGTGATCCAGATATATAAGTTAGCAGACAAGGAATTTCTAATAACTATATGTTCAAAAAATAAAGGAAATGATGGAAAAATATATGAAAAGAAAAATTCAATCCAGTCATTAGACTCTATAAGGAATCAAATGGACACTTGGCCCATGATTGGCAATATCAATAGAATGCAGCAGAAGTGAAGTTTTGCCCGTTCTAGGCATATTCTTTGAGAGCACTGGCAATTTTTATTCCCGTTCTGTTAGAAAGTTCATTTTGGGGAGCCCTGTACGAAGTTTGGCTCCCCTGCGGGACAGATTATGTGGAGAGGAGAGGCCCTGAGATTTTAGGTACAGGAACAGAGGGCCAGTCATGTCAGAGACCCAGTTGAGCCTGTGGATGACTCCAGTTGCCATCAGACTACAACTGCGTGACAGAGCCCGAGTAAGACGAGCAGAAGAACTTCCCAGTGGAGCCAGCCAATCCACAGAACAGTGAGAGAAAATAGACTGATGTTTTAGTCATTACATTTTGGGGTAAGTTTGTTAGGTGACAAGAGATAATAGAAACACTCTCTTTCATAACTGCTCCGTAGCCCACACAAGGAGGTAGGGTAATGGAGATCTGAGATCTGACCATCGCTGAGCACACAAGGCCCGCTTTTCTTGTTGGAAACTTGTTCAAATCTCCATGAAAAAGGCTTTGTTCCTGTATCATCCACACTTCTGTGTGAGCCAAGCCTTAGTAGGCTATTGTCCCAGAAGGTAGTATTCCAAGGCTCCTCTTGAGTTGTGCAAGAAAGACTTTAGTCCCAGATCTTGGCAATTCTAGCATCAATGGGCAGGTGGGGAAACTCTCAGGCTGACTCATAATCAGTCACTCAGGGAGGTGGTCTCCTCCCTCCACACGCTTGCCTGTCCGGAAACTAATAATTGCTCAATGACGTTGCCTTTCCACCCCCCCCCCACCACATACCTTTACAAGCCCTGGTTTCACTCAAAAATTCTCCCATATGAATGCATGATGTCATCCCAAGGTTTGCATCAGATTGAGTTCGGAGTGCATTCCCCCACTGCCCCAGGCATCACTCTGCTGCTAACTGAGAAGACATATTGCCGCTGGCTTTATTTTCTTATTTTCATTTTGTTAAGGGTTCCACTTCAACAGGTCCTGTGAGAACATTAATTTGCTGCCATAATAATTTCAAAGTACATTTTTTTAAAGATTTTATTTATTTATTTGACAGAGAGAATGAGAGAGCACAAGCAGGGAGAGTGGCAGGCAGAGGGAGAAGGAGGCTCCCCACCGAGCAGGGAGCCCGATGCGGGGCTCGATCCCAGGACCCTGGGATCATGACCTGAGCCGAAGGCAGACGCTTAACCACCTGAGCCATCCAGGCACCCCTCAAAGTACATTTTTGATGTAGTGGTTAGGCATATCATCCAAGACGACCATTTGCATAAGGCAACCTACCTTGTATTGTTTTATTTAGAATGCCCATGTTTATGTTATAAATCTAGCCAACTCAATTATCCAGGCTACTGAAAGGGCCAAGTGGTGTAAGTAATCTAAAACATAGGAGAAAAGGTCATTTATATTTATTTTGGGAATGTATTATAGATTTTTCCCAGCAGCAGCAGGTGTTCCTAATTATGATTTTGCTTAGGCTAATACTAGAATTAGCGTGCACACTCTGAGCTTATACATGTCAAGAACATGTCGGGTAGCTGAGCAGGAAGAGCTGACCAAAGACTCTTAAGAAGCTGTCTGCTGTAAAATTTGCCTGCCAAGTCTTGAATCCTCTTTTTGTAACTGATCTATCAGACTTCCCATATGAAATGAGAGCTGTTCCTCACTTTGACAGGCTGCATACCAACTCCAAGGATGCCATAATTTCTGACACTCTCAAAATCTCTCTTTGTGATTCACCTCCCCAAACTCTGCTCTCCTTTTCTTCAGCCATGGGAGAATCTGGACTGCTGTATTAACCCATCCATTGCAATGTGTGTCCCTGATGGATTTGGGAGGCCAGTTGGGAGGCTTGCTAGGGAAGCCGGGAAGAAAGCTCTGGCGCCGGCCATGATACTTCATGGCTCCAGCCACCATCTTTATCCCGATTACTCCTAAATTCCCATCCCTGGCTCAGACCTCTTCCTCAAAATCTAGTACTGTGTAGATCTGCCTATTTATTTCCTCCTGAATGTCCCACAGGACCTTCACCTGAACTTCTCTTCCTCACTCCTTTCCAAATCAACTTCTCCTACGTTCTTTACATCAGTGGCAGTTACCACACTCCACTCTCCACACTCTCTGTCCTTCCCCACCTTCTCTAGTTCTTGCTTTTACCCCAGTTATCACTTCTGTCCACCTACCTCTCTCCACTCTCTCTTCCACTCTGACCAAGGCTCTATCACTTCTCGTCTGGTCCGCTCAAATATTCTCGTAACTGGCTTTCTTGCATGGAATCTTGTTCGCCGCCCCCATCTATCCTCCGCAGAGCAAAGACACAGAAGAGTTGTTCTAATAGACATAGCTCATCAAGTCACTCCTATGTTTAATGGTTTCCCACTGCCATTAGGGCAAAGTTTAAACTCCTTGCCTCCTCTACAAAGGCCCTGCACCAAGGCGCTCTATTTTTCTCCATCTCATGACATGCCAGGCTCTCTAGTCTCTGGGCCTTTGTTGGGCTCCATGCTCTCCTCTCCTAACTCCGGGTGCTTCTCTGTAGCTCTCCTCAGACTGTGGGTGCCACAAGGGAATAGGACATGTACGTTTTTGTTCCCTGCTCAAGTGGTTAGCACAGTGGTTGGCACAGACTAGCAGCTCAAGAAATACTTTCTGGATGGTGGACGAAATAACAGTCCCTACCTGCTCTCCCTTCCTCCAGGCTCTTCCCTTGCGACTTGTCCTTTCTATCGCCCCCAGAGTGATTTCCCAAGCCTGGGATCTAAGCACAGCTACCTTCAAGTCACATTTGAGCTAAAAAAAAAAAAAAAAAAAAAAAATCAGTTTCCCCCTCACTTACAGAATGAAGTCCAAATGCTTTTGTATGATATTGACATCAAGATCTTCTGCGATTTGGTCCTAAACTCCCTGGTCAACCTTATTTGTCTGCCTTACTTTCTGCTTTACAGAGTCTACCTTGCAGTCCAATGAAATTGCATGCTTTTCCCTGCCGGTGCCTTCTGCTTTCTAGCCTCCGTGTCTTTGTTTTTGGAGATCCATCCATCTGGCGAGCCCTTACTGCATTTCTGCCTGAGTCGTAGCTCTCCTTCATGCCCCTGCTTAAAAGCCCTGGCCTCTCTGAAGCTTTTGCAGTATCCCCCCTCCCGGCTGGAAATGACCATCTGTTCCTGCGAACAGCCCCACCCTCTTTGCCTCCCTTTGCGCACAGGCTCATTCTCTACTAGACTGCGAACAGCAGGAAGGAAGGACCAGGCCATTTCCGCATGTGGTTGACAGGACTCAGGTGACACTAAAGGTGTGGGGCCCATTTTCAGGTCTACGCTTGTTTCATAACCTTGGATTTGAAGTGTGGGCTGAGGACTAGCTGCGGAAGGTGTCATCAGGGACTTGTTAGTAATTCACAATCTCAGGCCAGCCAGACTTACCAAATGAGAATCTGCATTTTAACAAGATCCCCAGGTGATCGACACACACACATTAAAATTTAGGAAGTACCGCGCCGTTTTATTACCCAAGGGAGCATGCCTCCTCAACGAAAGACAAACAGCACATCTTGTAATTCCGTGCTCTCAGACCTGCTACCCATTTACAGATCAGCCGCCCAGTACACATCTCTGCTTGGGCATTACCAGGGCAATTTCATCTGACTCTGAGTTTGGGACCCTCCCCTTCTCCAACAAGACGGTTTGGAACCCCATCCGAAATAAGGGGAACCCTTTCTCCCATTAGAGAGCCGCGAATGCACAAAGCTGGCCCCAGGCCGGGAAGGAAGTGGTCATTGTGTGCAGCTTGCCTTAATCAGTGCAGTCTCCGGCCAAGCTGTGAGTCAGGCCTGTGTCCTCTGTAAATCGTCAGTGAAAGGAATGCCACGGAGTGATGTCAAGTGAGCTTTAGAGCAAACCACTCCTAGAAACATCTGGAGCTGGCAGAGGATCGTGACTGTGAATACGGATGAGGGGAACAATTGAACAATTTGGAATTAATCATGGTTTTAAGCGTCTTGTCCAAAACATATTTGTATTTGATCTAAAGAGGCAAACAACTTGGCGATGCTTCAGTGTCTTAGGTTTTAGAAAAGAGGCCACGACTCCATTAAAAAACTTTGTTTCCGGGGCGCCTGGGGGGCCCAGGCGGTTAAGCGGCTGCCTTTGGCTCAGGTCATGATCTCGGGGTCCTGGGATCGAGCCCCGCATCCGTGGGGCGGGGTGGGGGGGCGGTTTCTGCTCAGTGGAGAGCCTGCTTCTCCCTCTCCCTCTGCGAGTGCTCTCGCTCTCTCTCTCAAATAAACAAATAAAATCTTTAAAAAAAAGAACTTTGTTTCCTGAACTTTCTCTGTCCCCAGATTGAACAAGAATAGCCTTCCCTTCTTCCCTAGGCCTTACTTAATTATCACCACAGCTCAAGTGTTACGTTCAGTGCCCACCTTGTCCGCAGATGCTGAGGGGTCCTGTGGAGCATACTGTGTCACTTCTTTGCCGTGTGCCGCCCACAAACCTGGTAAATGGCAAGGCCCTCAAGTTCGGGCAAAGTCGCTCAAACTGGGAAGTGGCAAAACCCGCCGTTTTTGCCTCGGGCCACTTGGCTTCCAATCAGAGCCACACCCAGACTGAGCAGGGAGCGGCCCCAGACTGGCCTGTGTCTGACACCGGGAAGGAAAGTTAGAGCGGTCGCTTCTGCCCCAGAGATGACAGAAAGAGCGGGGTTTGCTGGCACTGTGCTGTCAAAGGCGCCTGACCATGGGCACTTACTCAGAAGTGGCTGTTGTCAAATAGGGCTGTGCCCAGCAAAGAAACAGCTGTTTGCAATTAGAAACTGGAAGATGACAAACAGGCCATGGACGGAGGCTGTCCTTCGTATGAGAAAGTTGCCCTGGGGACAAAAGTGTGAAAGAGACGCAGCTCACATTTTTCTTTTCGATGGTTTCTTCTTTTGCTGGGACTGTCAGTCAAGGTTCTCCAGATAAACAGAATATATGAATATATTCGATCTCTCTCCATCTCTCTCTCTCTCTCTCTCTCTCTCTCGAGGTATTTTTATTTATTTATTTTATTTTTATTTTTTAATTTTTTGAGGTATTTTATATTTTATATATATATACAGTATCTCGGGAGATATTTTAGGAAATTGGCTCACGTGTTTGTGGGGGCTGGCAAGTTCGAAATAGTAGGGCAGGCCAGCTCGCTGGAAACTCAGGCAGGATTTCTACGTTACAGATTTGAGGCAGATTTCCTTCTTCTATAGTACGCTAAGGCAGTTCTGGCATTTCAACTTCATTTAGTGTAGGCCACCTTTTGGTCCGTGTTTCATCCCCACCCCCCACCCCCAAAAACCAAATAAACCGCTAGGCAGGGCTAGGGCCAGCTGGCCTTTCTGGTTATTCAAGGTCGTTGGTCTGGAAATCTGGTGGGTTTCCCTGTAGAATTAGGAGGCCAGGAAGTGTAGATGGGGGTATTTATCTGAGGCTGCCAGCATGCATAGTGGGACCCTCCGGGGCAGTGTCGAGAGAGCCCGATTCCTAGGTTGTCACATCTCTCAGGAGAGGCCCATGGTAGGCAGTGACTCAAGAGCTATTCTAAGGTCTTCCTTTGCCTTTTTATTTTTTTTTAAGATTTTATTTATTTATTTGAGAGAGAGAGAATGAGAGCCAGAGAGCATGAGAGGGAAGAGCGTCAGAGGGAGAAGCAGACTCCCTGCTGAGCAGGGAGCCCGATGTGGGACTCGATCCCGGGACTCCAGGATCATGACCTGAGCCGAAGGCAGTCGCTTAACCAACTGAGCCACCCAGGCGCCCTTCCTTTGCCTTTGAAGCCACAATAGTTTGGCCATCCCTGTTCTGTACTGCCCTGCCCTGCGAGGCCGACCAACTCCTCTGAATGGGAAGAGCTCACTGGTCTCTTCCTGCTGCACACAGCTCTAGGAAGCCCAAGGCAAAAGATCAGATTGGGCCTGGCTGCCCCCTTGCCATGACCCTGAGAGGTAACCGAAGCTCCTCCATTCATCTCATAGCTATTTTGTGCTGCTCTGTGCTAGGCACAGGGCTCCAGAAAAGAATCGGACACGACCTGTGCCCTCGAGGATCTCACCACCCAATGGGTCAGTGATTTCAGGCAAGGGGATTAAGAGGAGGCCTGCCTTCCTCCCTGTGTGCTGACGTTCCCTCCCCTTTCTAGCCTCTTCTTCCAAACTCAGCGACCCTCACTTCCGCCCTCCCAGCCACAGACCTTTTGTTGGCCTTCTGGTCTCCCAGGGTCCTGCCCTGCAGTGTTCTGGCAAGGCTTGCCTTCTCCTTGCTCCCAAAATAGGTCCGCCCCACTCTTCCATGCGTTCAGACCTTATTGCCAGCTCACCGGCCATCGGCTGTCACTCTGATAAAGTGGGGCGACAACATGGTATGAATAACAGGTAGTCTATTTAAATTCATTCATTCAACCAACAACTATGTACCTAGAGCCTTCCATGTACTGGACCCTGTGCTAGGTGCTGGGTATAGAGAGGCAGATCTGACGTGGTTCCTGCCTGTAATGAACTCATCATCTAGTTAAGGAGACAGACAAACAGGTAAACACAGTTGCCACACAGTGTCAGACATGCAGTGATGGGGTATGTGCCGTGAACAGTTGTGGCAGAGAGAGGGAAAGAGTAACCCTTCTCGGCCTAGGAGAATGGAGATCAGGGGGAGAGAAGAGGATTAAGTTGCTTCCACAAAAATAAGTAGCAGTTCACCAAGTAAACAAGGCAGAGGAGACTTTCCAAAGAGAGGGAACAGCAGGAGCAAAGACATGGTTGGGTCGTCATACACAGCCTGCTGGGAGCATGGATAAGTGGATCTAGGGTGGCCAGATGTGATGCAGTGCATGCCAGGGATTGGACATGTATGTTGGAGCGAAGGCTCTGCGATGTTTCTGGCAACAAACCTTGGGCTTAATGCTAAGAGCAACAGGGAGCTACGGACAGTTTTTTGTTTCCTTGTAATAGCTTTATTAAAATATAATTCGCGTACCATGCAATTCCCATATTTTGAGTGTACAATCTGTAGTTTGTAGCATATTCACAAGGTTGTGCAACCATCATCACTATCTAATTCCAGAACGTTTTCATCACCCTAACAAGAAACCCCGTACTCAGGAGTCACTCCCCATTTCGCCCCCATTCTCTAGCCACTGGTGACCACTAATCTACTTTTTGCATCTATCTTTGCCTATTCTGGACATTTCATATAAATGGCCTGATACAATATGTGGTCTTTTCTTTTCATGGCCAAAGAACATTCCATGTGTGGATGTATCGTATTTTATTTATCCATTCATCAGTTGATGGACATTTGAGTTGTTTATACTTTTTGGCTCTTATGACTATGCTTCTGTGAACATCTGTGTGCAAGTCTTTGTATAGATATGTGTTTTCAGTTCTTTTGGGTCTATACCTCTGGGTGGGATTTCTGGGTGATTAGATAACTCTACGTTTAACCTTTGAGGCACTGCCAGACTGTTTTCCAAAGTGACTACACCCTTTTACATTCCCACCAGCAATGTAGGAGGGGTCCAGTTTCTTTACATCTTTGCCAACACGTATTATCTTTCCTTTTGATTATAGCCATCCTAGTGTGAATGTGACATGATATCTTGTCATTTTCGTTTACATCTCCCTGATGACTAATGATGTTGAACATTTTTTCAGGTACTTAGCAGCCGTTTGTACATCTTTTCTGGAGAATTGTCTATTCAGATCCTTGCCCAGATTTTCACTGGATTGTCTTTTTATTATTGAATTGTAAGATTTCTTTGTTCTAATACAAACCCTTATCAGATATATGACTTCCAAAAATTATCTCCCACTCTGTGGGTTGTGTTTTCACTTTCTTGATGGAATCCTTTGAAGCATAAAAGTTCTGATTTGGGTGAAGACTAGTTAATCACTTTTACATTTTACAGAGAGTGTTTGGGTATTATATCTGCGAACTCTACCCAACGCGAGGTCATTCAGCCGTAGCCCTACAGAAGAGTTTAAAACAGGGAAGTGAAATGCGAGCTTTTGCAGGGTAAAAAGATCAATCTAGCCATTGTATGGAGGAAGGTCCTTGCAGGACAAGTCTGAAAGTAGACAGATTAGTTAAAGGGCTATTGAAGTAACACAAGTGAAAGATGATGGAACGATGAATGAAAATGAAGAAAGGTGGATGAATTGGACAACTATATCAAGGCCATTTCCATGGTCCAATTAGGGAAGTTATAAGACCAGATCTAGGACAGTCTAAGTAGAAAGGGAAAATAGTATTTTAAAGAGATATTGCTTTGGGGGAAGCTGTAAAGATCTGGTGCCTAATAGGAGAATTGGGAGTGTGTAGAGAGGGAGGGAGGGGAGAGTTTGCGTCTGGATTACT